TTTTAATGGTTCATGATACAAACAGTACAATGGCATTTGTTGAAACATGCAATTTTAATTTTTTTTTACTAGTAAGGCTGCTCATTTGCTCAAAACTATTTGGCAAATATCCGATGAATATGTGAGAGGTTCTTTGAACAGTCTAAGAAAGTCCACGTGTTTCCTCCTACTTGTATGTTGCTTTTAGTAGCTCTCACCCCACTTTTTTTTTTTTTAAACTTCCAGCTCTCTCTCCTCCCTTCCTCCACACAACCTCCTTCTCCATGCAACCTGTTTGCTCCCTAGAAAGATTTTTCAGTATCCTCCTGCCCTCCCAGAGGCCTCACTACTGCCTACACCTGTGTACCTCTGCAGAGGAACCCTGTAATCTCAGCTGAGCAAGACCCACACTGCAACGTTGCCACATCACTCACTTTAGCACAGCTGGTTTTCAGTTCACCCACAGCGGGCTGCACTCACCACTCTTCGTCAAGGAAGAGCAAAATGATTGCTGTGCAAACATGCGATAGAGCTGCTAACCTTCAGAAAGCGTATCTTTGGCCTCCTTCACAGGACAGCACGCCACCCTTCAGTAGGATGGCAGCGGTCGGTCACCGTTATTGTTACTACCCGCACAGCTCTGAGTAAGGCAGACGAGCGGCCGAAGGCGGTAGAAAGAGGCTGCTCCGCTCACTCGGGAACCGGTTTCCATTCTCCTAGACAAGCGCTCCTCACCAGTTCCCCCCTCCAAGCGCTTCCCTGCCAGAACCCCCGCACACGAGGCACGCCAGCTCCCGCTCTGCGACCCGCCTGCGGGGACACCGCGGGTCCCCGGCCACGGCCCTGCCCCGCCACCCAGCCCGCGGCCGCTTGGTGCCGATGCTCCCGCACGCAGCCCCCCGCGCTCTGCCCGCGGTGAACGCCGTCACAGGAGGCTCCCACTCCCCCCCAACCGGGCGCAGCCTCCTCGGGCCCGACGGTCCGACCATCCCCGTCCCACCCGCCTCCCCCTCGTAGGCGTCCGCGCTGCAGAAGCTCTCGATCCCCATGGGGCGCGGCGAGGCGACCGCGGGGCTCCCGCGGCAGCGCTGCGCTTCCCCCTCCGCCCCTCTCTGTGCCCCGGCGGCGGCGGGCGGAGACCCCGGTGGAACCCCGGCGGGTCGCCCATTGCCTCCGCAGACGCGGTGGCCCGGGGCGAAGGACGGGCCCGGTAGGCTCGACACGTGTTTTTTTGTTCAACGGAGAAATCCCTCGCGCCCCCGCGAGGGTAACGGGGCCGGAAGCGTTGCCCCCCCACCTCAGCGCACCACCGCCTCGCCTCCCTCCCTGGGTCGGCGGCACCGGGACTGCCCGCCCTCGGCAGCGACCTCCCAGCCGCGCCACGGACGCACCTGCCCGCCGGGCTCGACCGGAGCAACCGGCGGGCATCACGGTATCCCCCTCCCAGGCGCTGCTGGGCACAGGGACCCCAGCAGCCCCCGGGGAACAGGGCACCGTCCTCGGGGAAGGCCACAGTGACAGCCTAGTGTCACCTTCAAATATTTCATTTTTCAACGTGAACCAGTTAAACTGGTTTCAAAGCCCTGCACTCGTTCCAATTGAGTAGCGTGAACTGAAACTGAACCAAAATAACCTCATCCGCAACCAAGTTTGCACCAAAATAGGTACCAGTTGAAATAACTGCACAGCCCCTGTGGTGGCGTTTGGTTGTGTCTCACTGCACTCCTCACATCCTTAAAATGCATTTGTTAAACCCCCAGACAGCATCCACGCACAGGTGACTGTCACGCCTGCTGGACTAGACCAGTCAGAGCATGGGTGGCACATATGTAGGAATGGCATTGTACTGAATTTCACTGAATTTTCACTGCATTTTGAGTTGGAAGGGACCATAGAGATCATCTAGCCCAACTCCGCTGCTGAAGCAGGATTGCATAGAGCATGTCAGAGCATGTTACTCAGGACTGCATCCAGGCAGGTCTTGAAAATCTCCAAAGAAGGGGACTCCACACCCTCCCTGGGCAGCCTGTTCCAGGGCTCTGCACCCTCACCGTGAAGAAGTTTTTTCTCATATTTGAGTGGAACCTCCTTCGTTCCAACTTGTGCCCGTTGCCCCTTGTCCTCTCACTGGCAACCACTGAAAAGAGAGCAGGGTGGTTACATACTACCCTGCAGTAACATCTGAAAGCTTTAATCCCGCGAGTTACAGGAAGAACTCCAATTTGAAATGTTCTTTTGCATCCAGAGCAATTATAGTAACAGACAAAGCTGTTAGAAGATTCTGAGACAGGTCTCATTTGTCTCACATAACACAAAAATCAAGCATCACACATACCAAAAAAAAAAAAAAAATGTATCCCCAATTGGTCTTTACTCACCTGCACACCTCCACGCCGTGTCAGAGCTGGGCTGGGGCCTGGCTGTCCGTCCGACTGTGGCACTTCTGCTCTGTCCCCCGGCTCTCTCACTCTCAGGGTGTCAGGTGGAGGCGCAGCAGCAGCAGAGTTCAGCCCGCAGCAAGGTCACGTATATCTTGGTGAACGGAGCAGAATCATCACAGAAAAAGCAAACCAGACAGATTGGGTGTTGGAAGCTACACCAGTTTGTGTCAGTTTAGCCCATACCTTATTTCATACCGTATTAAAATCTTTATAGTTGAAGTCCAATTCACCTTATTTTTACTAAAAATATTTCTGTCCTGATTTATGCACTTTCTACATTCATCCTAAAATAATCTTAAATACTTTGGTGGGTTGTTTTTTGATTCCTTGATGCTTACTATGACTCCTTTTGAAAAAGTTACATCACAGTCTCCAATGGCTGTTATCCTACTGCCCTTTGGCTCTGACTGTGCATATAAATGTTAATAGCTCTAACAATTGGAAGTTGGAAGAGCTTTTCTTCTTTTAATAGCACTATTAATAGCATAGTAAACTAGAAAAAAAGGCTAAACAGATAATACAACACGTAAGAGTTTACACTTTTACTCATATTCTATGCGTAATAATAGAATGTAAACTTGTAGTTGAAACGATACAGCAGAAAAGTATTTAGGATATGAAGATCATATCACAGGGGTTGCTCCAAACAAGATGACAGTAAATAAGCATAAAGTGAGGATGGTCCCATTTTTTTCTCAAGATATTATTGTATGCTGAAAGACTAACGAAACTTAAGTTACGCTTTCAGGATTCAAACTTTCCAAGTACTTCTATATAACTATTTCTTTTTTTTAGCTTCAAACCGTCCCCATACCAATGGTCACATACCAGGTTAATAAAGTTTCTCATCAAAAAAAGATACTTGGATCTGCACCTCAAATTAGTTCCCTTCCAACTAGTTCCATCTCCTTCCCTTAGCAACTCTAAACAGCAGCAGCAGCAACAGATTTTAAACAAAGGACAGTCAAAATTCAGAGTAGATAATTAAATGTTAGGGGAAGCAGAAGAGTTCAGAAGCAACATGTGACAGACTCAAAATATTTGTTGTGGAGGAGAAAAACCAAAACTGATGCAAAAACAAACCTGCAAAGAAATACAAAAGCAAGATCCCAGAGTACCAGACAGTGACTGAATGTGAAGTTCACAAATGATTGCTGTAACAGCACCTTTTAAAACACAGATTAATACATAAAATAGGAACTGCAAATGTATTTAAAAAGGCATTTCCTTGCAATAAGAAGCCTCCCCCCCGACTCCTACTTTGAATTTTGCTTTGTAGGATATAAATCAAAGCTGGATAGAAAATACAGAGTGGAAAAGAGCAACAATTTATCAACTGGAAATTAGATGTAATAGAATTATTGACCCACAACAACATGGAGAAATTTGGAAGGATGCAGAGAAAAACATTTTGGTTGCAAAAGTGTCATGCATGTTAAAGGTAAGTGGTTGTTCATCACCAGATTTGCACCAGGGATCTGGGCAGATTTAGGCAGAGGCACTTACTGCTGCTGACTCACTGAAAGTTACTGATAGGTTAAAGGAACAGATTAACTTCACCGTTACCGGTAAAGACTTCTTTTTTCCTGTATTTAATTTATTGCCCCCTACCAGAGATTCTGTGGAAACTCAGAGTATAAATATTTGCTTTGAAAGGAAACGTTAAAAAAGAAAGAAAAACCAAACAAACCCACAATAATAAAAAACCCCACCCCACACTTCCAGGGCATAAGTGGTTTACTGCTTAAGAAGACTCACATTTTCCTTCAAGCCCAAGCAGGCTGCTCCATCTAGACCATGACAAATCCAGTTTGTTCATCCATACTGGCTGCATTTCCTTTGGGAAATATTTAATACATTCATGAAATAAACACTGTTGACTCATCCTAGCTACACGAAGCACACACACGCCTCCAGACACACCGGGGATCCTCACAGACTTGCAAAACACCCAGTATACGGTTACATTTTGGCAAGACCTTTTAATTAAGAGCTCATCTTAGGCGAGTCCCTTTGATTTAAAGTTCATCTTTCAGTGGCTCAGTGTGAAACTCCTCCACTACACACCAGGGAGAAATTCTCACTCATTCTCCATGTTTTTTCTTCTTTTTCTTTTTTTCCCGCTCCAAATAAAGCACATTGACAGAATTACTGAGGGAACAGCAGCCCTGGAACGCCGTCCAACCTTCCTCCACCGCAGCCGACAGGCCTGCACGCCCGGCACGGGCAGGATCCCGAGCGGTAACTCCAGATACACCATGTAGGCACTACTAATTATTTTACTCCGGCTTGACCCTGCCTGGCAGCAGAAGGGAACCACCCCCGGGGCCTCCGCTCACCGGGCGGGGAGACCCCGGTCCCTCAGGCCCGGCGCTCCGCCTCAGGGAGCGCGCGACCCCGCCCGCGAGCCGCGGGGAGCGCGCCGTGCCCGGCTCGAATTGCACGCGCCGCTGGCCGGCGCTGTCCCATTGGCTGGAGTGTGCCTGGAGGCGCGCTCCAGCCAATGGGACAGCGCCGGCCAGCGGCGGCACCGCCCCCTCCAGCACTGCGCCTGCGCAGCGTCCGCCTGCCGCCGCCGGGGTGTCTCATCCGGGTCTTTGGCTCAGCCGTTGAGGCGATGGCGACGATAGCGGAGCTGAAAGCAGGTTGATGAAGTGGAGGGGTGCCGGGGAGGGTGGGGAGCCCCGAGAGGAGGCGGAGGCGCCTCGGATCACCGAAAGGGCAGGCAGCTGGCCTTTCCTTATGCAACCCGTCGCCGGTTGGGCCTAGTAGTCGGCCCCGGCGCTAATGGGGGCCGCCGGCTCCTCACACCGGGCGGGGTGAGGAGGAAAGACCACACAAGCCCTCCGGCCCTGTCATTTGTCTTAGCCCAGCAACATCCCACTTCTGAAATGGCTAGAATGTGTATTTACTACTAAAAAATACATAATCGTGACTTCTTTGACGGCTGAATTTTTTATCTGTAGCGTTCCTAATGATGTAATACCTACTTGCATATGCGCATCTTTATTTCACCAAATATATCAAAATACATATATATGAATATTGTGGCTGATAAATGCTGCTTGAATACGTTTGACTTTATATTAACAAAGGTTTTTTATGGTAATAGTTTTAAGGGACACGCTGGAAAAAAGAGGTGCTCTTGGAGAGATAAAAGCAAGGATCAGAGCTGAAGTTTTTAATGCAGCTATCTTTATTTCACCAAATATATCAAAATACATATATATGAATATTGTGGCTGATAAATGCTGCTTGAATACGTTTGACTTTATATTAACAAAGGTTTTTTATGGTAATAGTTTTAAGGGACACGCTGGAAAAAAGAGGTGCTCTTGGAGAGATAAAAGCAAGGATCAGAGCTGAAGTTTTTAATGCACTGGATGACCAAAGTGAACCACGGCCACCACTGTCTCGTGAAAATCTCTTAATCAACGAACTAATTCGTGAATACCTGGAATATAACAAATATAAATACGCGGCATCTGTTTTAATTGCAGGTATTGCGGCTGAATCTTTGTTGTCATCACTATATTAATAGACATTTACAGTTTGGTTGAGTAATTCTGCTGATACTGTGAAATTAATAGGTGGGACCAGGCTGCACAATCTTAGCTTCCCTTGGAAATAAATAAGATACGAACACTCTCTCCACAGCTTTACTTGGAGCATTAAGCAGTATCATACCGTTAGTTTTCAAGAAAACTTACCCTTTGTTCCTTATGCTTGAGGTAAATGCTTTGACAGAGCAGTTGATGCAAGAACAAGAAAACTTGATAGCAGCCTGCAAAATCAAAATACCTTTCTCGAAATGTCTGTTTTAGAAGATGGCTAACAACAGTATTAAAGCATATATCACATTTTCTTTTCTCATTAGCATTTGGGTAAAATAAAAAAATACAAATCCTACAAATGAACAAAAATGCTTTGAGGAGTAATTTAAATAACTAATGCGTACATAAAGTAGTTGACAGTCTGAATTACAGCAGTTCTGGCAACTCATGACTACAGACTATCAGAAATGTGGTTAGATGTTCTCAGCTTAACTAACAAAAATGAAGTTCTGTACTTTGGATGGTTAAATGTCCTTAGCTCAAATAACAAAAGGTCCATATAATACAACTGCAGTTAAGTATTATTATTACTGGCTGTGCTAAAATACCATTATTTGAGAGCTGTTTAGACTGGAACTTCTAAATAGTAGCCTTAATTTATATGGTACAGCAGTTATGTACTTTTGCAGCAATTGCTAACTTGTATTTGAAATTTGAAGTTCTGTGATTGAATTTAGACACAGTAGTTATATTTGCTATTTAATAATTTGATATATTTCACTATTAAAGTTGCGGCTCAAAGGTTCATCTCAACAAGAGGGAATGGAGACAGTAATGTTTGGAATTCATTTGATAACAGTACTTCTTTAGAGAAAGTTTGCCTGATGAATTTATATTGTAAGACTTCTTTAATCTTTTTCTTAGATTCCTTTAGAGCTAAGATAAAAATTGTAATATGCTATTGTATGTTATATGAGTATGACACACTAACATTTGAGTTCCCTGTAATTACAATATACTGTTAGATATTAATAGTCTAAAAGAGAGGTGTGTGCTTCATTCTTTTTTGAAGTCTCCTGAGCAGTCTTTAAAAGTTAATTGGTGATGTTTCTATTACCAGCCTTAAGAATTTTGTGGAATTCTCTTTTTCCAGAATCCGGCCAGCCTGAAGTGCCTTTGGATAGACAGTTTCTTGCCAAAGAGCTGAACATAATTGAAGATGCAAATGGAAAATCAGTGTAAGAGTGATTTTGGAATGCACATTATGTTCTGTTTTGCATATATATTTTTCTCTTTAGTGTTATTATAAATCACATACACATGTTCTCACTAGTTGAAATGTGACTAGCTGACATCCCTGCTCTCACACGCTGGATTCAAACTCACGATGACAAACATAGGGCCTTTTTCAAACGTACTCAAAACTAACATTTAATTCTGCCAACTCTGTAACATTCTCCACATAGACTCTTACCAGTGCAGTCTTCCCTGCAGTCAGAAGTGGGAAACAGATACACTTTTTGCATATCAGTGAGTTGCTTTGTAGAGCAATAAAAAGATTATTGTACTTTGAGATGAGATATAAATTCAAAGTGCTCCGATACAACTGCATTAATGACCTAGGGTAGCGAAGCAGGTTTAAACACATTCAGTGTTCTCTGTAGCTTGTGCTGTCAGAATTTGTCAGGTGCTTAGGAAGAATCAAATTTGGGATGTGCAGCCCACCAAAGTCTGATCCTTCGTACTGCAGGAGTGAGAATACGCATCTGTGTTCTTGTGCTAAGCACGCTCCAGTTCTTCACCTACAGGGGATCTGGAGCTTAGTTGAGAGTGTCTCTCAGTGTGAGCTTTTTAGGAGTGTGTTGGTGTTCAGGGTGGGCTTAGATCTGGGCTTATTTATATAATGACATATGGCATAATGCATTTTTAAAAATGACTCTAAAGACATCTGTACATATTCTAGAAGTAAGCATTAATATCTCAGAAGTTCTGAGGAAAGGATGATTCTTTAATGCTCAGTATTTCAAAGACTGCTTTTGCCATTTCTCTCTTAAGCAGACCTCTCTTGTACGGAATTCTCTCTCATTTCTTACACGGTGGTAAAGAAGAAAGCACCCAGAATAGCCTTTCAAAAGTATCTCTGCTGAATTATCCAAAGCAGAACCTTGGCAAACCACCTACTGACAGAAATCAAAAAGGTGGGTGTGGGTAGAGGGTCATTTTTGCAGAAGTTTTATTTGTGACTAGATTTTCTATATGATATATATGCTTATAACAATATAAACATGCAGTTGGACATGTGAGCTCATACCTCTTCTGTAAGAAAAATTTTTCAGCAGAACAGGGTTTATACCTCAAAAATGTGATTAAGCTATGTGACCTGACCATACCTGTTGCTCATGTATTCATTTAAGAAGGGTCCTACAATATCCAACTCAAGAAAGACCCACCCATGATTTCTAAACCCACCCATATATGTGCCTTTCTTTAAGTGACCACCTGTTGCCAAGGGAAATATTTGACAAGGTTATGATTTAGTAGTGATTCAAAATTTGTTAATGATTTGAGGTAGTTCAAGAGGTTGAATTTTAGCAGCACTTAATCATTTACCAATTTATAGATTTACAAAGTTATTTAAGAAAATAAGTGAATAGCAACTTAAATACAGATTCAAAGATGACAAGATTCATACTTACTATAAGGTATCCCAAATCAGTACATAGACATGTGAGCAAAAGCACAGATCTCAAACTAATGCACGTACATACAAGGAAAGCATATGTGTGTGCACACACACACACACACGCCGCAGTCTATAACCGCTAAGATCAAAGATCCCTTGGTATTGCACGACTCTTAATGAGCCAGCGGGTACCCCTTTTAACTCCTACATGTGCACAGACAAATGGGAGAATATCCACATCCATAAAGCTAACGTATATATCATAAACATTTAAGCAGAGAGGTGGATGAAAGAGATGCTAGTTAAAAATTTCCCTTTTCTCAAGTTTCGAGTAAATATAATGCATCAGCATTCCTCAACAGGCGATAATTGGGACTCAGGGGGCTGACTTGCCCTGGCCTTCTAATTGTCGAGATGTCTGCCTGAGCAGTGTCCCAACTCAAGGGAGATACTGGCCACAGCCCACTGTGATACAGAAGAGCTCCAAGGGTCTTACTAGAATTGCTACTTATAAGATCTGAGATAATTGTCTTTCATCGGGTACTTTTCTGCTCCAGCCCAGCTCGGACAATGAAATACTCCAGTACTTTCCACTGGTTACACAAGCCCAGAACTTTCTAGGTCTTGGGGTCCTGGTATTTCCCCTTCTGTGGCCATATGTTGTCAAGAGTGATAGATTACAGTTATTACTTTCAAACAGCAGGACCAGGTACTCTTAAGGGGCTGCTGCAGTGTTCTAGTCTGTTGCTCTCCACCTTTTCTTTCTTTCATGTGAGACCATTATGTATCGTTCTGGTCCATGTGGCCCAGGTGGGAGGAAATCATGCCAGGTACCAAGAGGCCTAAAAGCTTGGGGGGGGTGTTGCACCATCACATTAACGTACACCGACTCTCAGGCCTGCCTCTCTCTGCCAGGATGCTATGGAATAGCATACAAACCTGATTGCCCTTGGAAGCGCTTGACTGGCCTTCCAATGTATCAGTGGTAGAACTTTCTTATAGGGGAATGTATTTTATTTATAAAGCAGATATTTTTAAATATTGCAGACAGCCAAATTTATATAATTTCTCAACAGTCCAAGGTACTGTGAAGCTCCTGTTACCTTGCGGTAGCTGCTTGTTAGTTACTAGAGGGGAGGGGAAAAACCTAATTATTTAACTTTATTCTATTAATGGTGTTAAAAATAGAAAAGTCATTTAAATTGGACAGCTGTGCTATTCTAATTTGTACATGGTAAAATATCTGTCACACCATTTATGCTTTCAGAAACAGATTTACTGCTCTGCAGTTGCTGGTAAAGACCAGAAAATATTAATATCCCAATTCTCAGTATCAGAAATGTCATCTACCAAATCACTTCACCATTTCCCTAAAAGTTAAACTGACCAAATTTTACTCCATTATACTACTAAAAATCTGGAATGGGTTCAGCTAGAGACAGTCTCATTGTACTGGCAATTTAATACAAGAATTTAACCTAAATTCTCAGCAAAATATATTAAATAGTGGGCATATCTCTGCTTCTCATCTGTTCTAACTTACCTCATTTCTATAGAAAGTTCTTAACTTTTCAGCTGGCAGTTCTGTATATGGGCATAAGCCTTTTCTGAGGACATAATTCACATCCCATTGACTGCAGAAGCTTAAGCTCTGAGTTCATTGCTCTCTATAGAACGCTGCGCAGTCTCATTTTCCCGTTCTGGTCTGCTTTTTAGCTAGCTACAGTTAATATGGCCCAAGATACAGAGTGAAAGGGATCTTTGGTCCAGTCTTTTCCTTCAAAGAGTCTGCTTCACTGTCTGCTGTGAGAATTCGGTACTATCAACTATTTTTTTTGTCCAAAAATTTGAAAAATATAAGGCACGAGGTGTTATTGACATCTAAAAAGCATGAGAGAACTACTGAACATCTTTTCTTAACGGTTAATTGATTGAGGCAATGTTGTTTCCCTTCTGCCAGAAGGGGGGGCTGAAGAAATAAAATTTCAATACCAAAATTACTATAAATTATCTTTTTTAGAAAAGAATTATTCTGATCAGAAATTTATCAATTTTCAAATTCAGTGTATAGAATATTTTTTTTTAAAGTATAACTTTGTAGCTTAGTTCCGAAGTTGACTCTGTGCAGGGTCACCTTGCCCTGCTGACTCCAGTGTAATTTCACATGGGGATTTATTGTTTAGAGTTAGGTACAAAACTGGGGATTAATCATAAAACATGACAGCACATTGCTTTTTGAAATATGCAAAAATATAGCAGCTTTAAGGCTTTTAATCTTTAAGTAACTATCATCTGAAATAATTTCATGCATGTGTTTGTGGACTATGTCAGTGAAGACCTAAAGGCAGTGGGTTTAAAATACTAATTTTCTAGCTATTTTAATTAGGCTGCATATTAAGGTAATCAAGTTCATTCATAAACTCAATCCTCCAAGTCTCATATTTAACATCTAACTTGCTCTTCTTACTAGAAACTGTCTTGCTTGTTTGGTTGAATGAATGGATATTCCAATAAACCAGTACACGGACTGGGAATCCTGATAAAATGTGGGCAATCTGGTGTTTCTGTTAATTCATTCACTATAGCTGAGTTGAAGTTGTCTGAAATGTAATCTTTAGCAACGTAAAGCTCTTATCTCATGCAGTTGCATGGGAAAATATATTTGTAAAATTTCCCGAGTTTCCTCTGATGATATTCTGTATCAAGGTTGATAATAGCAGAAAAATAACACACCTTTGGATCTCCAGAGGCATGAGAATATTTGTGTCTGTGTTTCATTTTCAGATAGAATTCCAGAACCAGGAAGGATGGCTGGCACGAGCATCGAAGAGCCCCTTGTTTTACAAAGTATAAACAGATGATACCTTTCATGTACTAATTTCTCATGTAAAGTTCTGTAAGAGTTGATTTAGGAAATTCTTATTTGCATAAATTTCCCCAGTATGTCCAGTGGGACCACTTCAGCTTGTTAGATCTACCCATGAGACAGGATGACAGGGTCGTACTTACTGTCAATGAAGAAGAACATTAGCAAAGGCTCCCTTGCTCCAGTGCTGATAGGAACAAAACTCTGTATGAAGTCTGTGATTCCATGAAGTCAGGTTAGTGAAGCCTGTGGCTAGAATTGGGCCTGAAAATACTGGGTTTACTTTATAAAAAATTATCAAATAACTTATTTCTGCACTTTATTATGTCTTTGTGTGACTTCCCTGGGTTTTTTGAATAAAATTTTTCAGCTTTATTCTGTGTGGCATTTTGAAATCATTCAAACTGAGCATTTTAATCGTTCTTCCTTAAGAAGAAGATCCTACTTTCGGAGAAGTATGGGAAAATAAATTTGAATAGAAAATTTGGAGGAATAGTTGTTTTTAATTCTCCGGAAGTCAGGATTATATTTATCTTCATGCCAACAAACAAGTGAGGGTAAGTCTTTTCCATCTGGAGTTGCTATAAATTGTACGGTGTAACACTGAGTATATGGGAGGGGAAGAACAACTGGTTTTTTTCCCAAACGACATGAAGCTCAAAGTCAGGCAAAGCTGAAAATAAAGTTGATAATAGATTACTGATTCCCAGAACTTTTTTTTAGCTGAGGTATTTACATGTTTTGAACTGGTAATTTATTTTAAAAGCTAAACTTAGAGGGGTACATCAAAAAATAACAGGTTAGCTATTTTACTCATTTTAACAAAATGTATAGATGTCAATGTTTCCAGCAGGACTGAGGACTTTTGTATAAATAAATTTTTAGGGTTGCGTTCCTAAAAATCATAATTGTTAGATAGGTGGTACAGTCAGTGGGGAAAAAATAAAAGGAAGAGAAGGTGAAGTTTGTGAATGTAAAGACTGCAAAGTTTTCCCTTAATCTTGATTTGACCTAGTTAGCATTACGGGTAATTTTTTAATTTGATAATCAGCCTCTACTCTAATGTCAGACTGCAGAAAACAGTTATGGGTTGGAAGGGGAAGTTGCATTTATCCCTTTGAAGCCTCAGCAGTGAGCTCATCCCCTTCGTGTGACTGGCAATGCTGCCAGCTTCCTGTTTGCTGATTTATGAGTATCTTAGGACTGTTTCCAGGAGGGAAGGACACGTGTTTGCTAATATACCTCAATCAAATCCATTGTAGCTTAGCATCAATTATAATTGACTGTGTGCCCTCACTGCCTGCTCTGTCCTTCCACCACCCTTGGGTCCAACTGCTTGGCTGGAGCCAGCCCTGTAAAAACTACCACCCTGGGATTCTGCCTCATTAGTAGAGTCTTTCCTGCCACATCAATGCAAACATCACTGATCTTTCTCTCACTTTCTTTGTCTTCTAATTAATTGCAAATTACCTTAATTTTGGAATGAACTGAAAGTGCCTCTATGGAAAGTTGCAAAAATGAGCTCTTGAACAATGCAGATATGATTGCTCTAGAGGCAGAAATCTCTGAATTTTTTCCTTTGGTTTTCCAGAGGTTAAAGTTTTGAGTTTGGTTTCTCCATAAACCAGTGGGCCAAATTGTTAAATATATTTGGAATCCAAATTGTCTTTTCAAGGGCAGGGAAAAAGGCTCTGGGAAACAAGCTCTAACCTTGCATGCTATGCAAATCTTCCAGTGTATCCAAAACCATTGCGTCTGCTTTCTGTCTTTCTGACACAGATCCCACAGAAGCTGCCCAGGTGCCACAGATCTCCTTCGGAAACAGATTTTCAGTGGTAGAAATTAAATAGTTTTTGTTCTGGTGGAAGAGGGCAAAGGGAAGTTTAGCACTTGCGCTTTTCCTGAGGACACAGCTTGGCAGGCTCACACTCTGCACAGCCACGAAAGCAGAGGCTGTTATAAGGGTGTGTTTCACTGAGCTTCGAGGTAAAAGTGTGCGTCTGAAATCAGTAGAAATCCATTTAAGACAGAGGGAATCTCAGAAGTATTTTCTTTGGGAACTGCAGCTTCAGCTCTGTGCCAGGATCCTGCGCTGGGAGGGTGGGTGGGAGCTGGCCCCTTCGCTCTCGGTACAGCCTGCATTTCATCGAATTCTCTAATACCCTCACAGTACAGATTTGGGGGTTTGGGACAATCTCTTGTTTCAAAGTATAGTCATTTTACAAGCAAATTAAAATCAAATTAAAGTATTTCCAGTGATATTTATTTGTACAACAAAGCTCTGAAATGTCTATGAAAATATACTGGTCTAATCACATTATTAATGGTCTAGTGTTTATCCTGACAGCACATGGAACATGAGAGTGTCTTTCAAGATGCAGCCATGGAGCGAGCCCGATGAACGTCAGGCTGCCTTGCTTGTTACCAGGTGAAGAGGAATTGCAAAGTCTGTACAAAATGGTTGCACTTTCAAAAAAAAAAAAAAAAATACCGTTCCTTAAAAGTTTAAGCTAAGCAAGGTCAGTATTTAGATGAAAATAATTCACAGCCCTAGAGTCACAGGTTCAGGTTTTAGACAGAACTGCCACCTAAGTGAGCACGCACAAAAATTATTTTCTCAAATAATTTAAGAAGCTCCGTCTAGCTTAATTACAGACACTGATGTCTTGCATTAACTGCCCTAATTATTTCTACTGACACAACAATGAAAAAAGAAAAAAGATAAAAGCATGTAGAAGTTTGGGGGGTTAATGAGCAAGATGCATTTCTGAATATTACTGGAGATGGAATGCTGTAACTGAGACTGTTACGGAGGGAATTACTTTAGAAGAGGCTGTTCTTTGTCTAAGCATGATATCACAAGTGAAGGTGACAAGGAGCCAGTTTGGTGTCGATATCAGATCTGGAAAGCACTTTGGAAGAACTTAACCCACAAGTTTAAAAAAAAATTCTTTTAAACCAAATTTTTGCTCTCCCCTAGAATCAGAGGAAAGTATGTTTATAGACTCTACAGCATCAGTGCTTTTTCAGGGGTATTAGTTTCTCTCATGCATAGGGGGATTTTTATTTTCTAAGCTTTATCAACACGCTCCAAGGAGTCGGTTACGCTTTCCTTCCTGAGCACCCTTTGTATCAAGCCGAATCTCGGTGTCAGTTGATCAGTTTTCCGGAGGAGTGATTGTCATGGGGTGATTATGTTTAGGAAAAGAAACCCCAAAATATTTGTTCGCACTTGCAAAGACACCCTTTCAGTAGCAGCCGGTGTCCAACTGATTCAGAACTGACCTGTGTGCTTCACACACATCCCTTGACCTGCAGCCAGCATTAATCACAAAGCTTAACATTAAGCAGTTGGTGACTATTTCACCTCGTCAGACTCCCCTCTTGATTAATTGTTCTAGTTTGGACACAAACTGTCCCTCCTGTTGGAATAGCAGAGCTCAACACACATGGTTACGCAGGGGTACCCCTGTCCTTAGGGAAACACGGTTGGTAAGCTTAGGTAAAAATATTTTTAAACAAAAAAAATTGCTTACCTGACACATGTTATTTAACAAACTAACATCACCATCCATGCTTTTTCTTTCCCCCCCTCCGTTCCATTCAGGTTACACTGTGGTAAGGCAGCTGAAAGTTCATTTCTTTCCTACTTGAGTCCTCTTCGTTCCCCCCCACCAAGTACAATATTTACAGTGCAAATTCAGCAAGGAGATATTTTAAGGGCAGGCTGCTCAATACTTTATTTTTCTAGAAAAGTAATTAAAACAAATAAACAAATCGGGGGGGTTAAATAAAGCTTAGTTGTTGTCACAAAGACATCGTCCACTGGGAATCCACAGCTTCCATTTTGAGGCAGCTCTGGTTTAAAAAAATACCACAACATTTAGGAAAATCCAACCAGGCTATTACATTAGTATATTCTTATGTTAACTTTTAAGTGAAGGCTGGAAGCCACGCTTACACTTATCAGTTCCTACCCCACACAGCTCGAGAGAGCAACTGTTTCAGTCCCAGCAGTAGTATTTTTTTTTTTTAAGACTTTCCAGCTCCATTTAATGTCACATCATATATCACCCTCCACCACCACCTCTGTTAAACACACTACTCGGGCAGCAAGCCTGCATGTGCACATGCAGCGGTTTGCAAACCAGCCGGAATAATTTCCACTCCTTTTTAAGCTACTATTAAAATGTGTCTGGTTTGTGAAACAGCTGCATGGGTTTGAAAGGAACTTCTTAGAAGAACTTTGATGAATGTTAAAATGATCATATTTTTCAGAGGATCCCCTTGCATTTCGTTATTTTATGTTCATTAAATTCCTATTTAAAAGGTAAGCTTGCAACCGAGAAACTGCAGGAAAAAATAAAATAGGGTAATTACCCTGAGAGGAACTTCCTGCTAACAAGGGCAACTTTCTTGGATTTATGTCCTGGCTATCATTTCCCCTGGCTTTGCTCCAACACGGTCACACGTGCACGAGCCTGATATGACACTGCTGCCGTGCGGGTGCTGGGAGGGCTCTGCACGGCCGCGGGCAGCCCCACACCTCGGCAGACACTGACCCTCCATCTGGAAGGTGGGGCAGCAACCACTGGGACCATGCGACTGTGTTGGCAAATCTGGTCTTCTCCAGCCGAGGCCTGAACATGAGTCCATGCTTGATATTCCTGAAATGTTGCAGGGAAAAAAACCTGATGCTCTTCCCCTCTCTCCTGGTTTACTCAAATTTGTTCACCGCTGGCCAGAGCGAGAAAGAGGGGCTATAGGTCCATCAGACCTGCAAGCCCTGGTACTTTGACCAAGTGATAGCAGAGATTTTCAGCCCAGCCTCCCCTCATAGGTATTTTTTTTGGATGCCAAGACTAATATGAACCTCATCCATCTTCCCCAGGAGGGTTTATTTTCCAGAGAGGACAGGGCTGTTGATGTCAAGAGAAATTATTTCAGCCAGGACTGTGCTCTGATCCTTTGGGTATACACCATATTTAGTCCGTTGCTGAGAGGGGGTTGTTTCGGTATTTTGTATTTGGCACGTCGATGGGAATTCCTAGAGGATCCTAGCTTTCCCTTTTTGGGATGTCTCCATCCACAGGTCCTACTGCACAAGGCTGTTGGCTACTAGCAGGGGAAGGAGGGGGGACAGCTGGGGATTCAAGGTTTGGGGGGTGAGAGGAAGGTTTGACGAGGACCAGATCACTCCCTAACCCCTGCAGGTCTGGCTCCCAGGGCCCTGTCCTCCTCTCCCCCCCAGTGCACGGTGCTGCTGCCTGTTCTTTCCACTGTGTCCTGGGGACTTTTCCCCCTCGGCTATTTATCACTTCTCTTCTTCCTTTTATGGACAGAGGGAGGTATTTCTTATATATGAAAAAGTATTT